GGTGGGGAAAAATCCCCTAATCAAAACACATTTATGAGAAATTGCCAGCATATTCTTCGGGGTTATATCGTATAAACATACGACCCGTGAAAATCAATATGATATCTAACCAGAAGTTAGATGACAAATATTTGATTATTTTATGGCATGATCGTTTGGGACATCCAACAACTGGGATGATGCAAAGAATAATAGCAAATTCAGTTGGACATTCAATAAGAAATGTCAAAATTCCTCGACCGGATGAATTAACATGCTCTGCATGTTCACTTCGCAAATAATATAAGACTATCTATGAACAAAATTGCTATTGAATCTCCAAAATTCTTGGAAAGAATTCAGGGAGATATTTGTGGGCTAATTAATCTGGCATGTGGACCATTTCGATATTTCATGGTTTTAATTGATGCTTCTACACGACGGTCACATGTTAGTCTACTTTCAAGCAGAAATGTGGCCTTTGCAAAATTACTTGCCCAAATTATCAAATTAAGAGCACAGTTCCCGGATCATACAATAAAGAAAATAAGACTCGACAATGCTGGGGAATTTACATCCCAAACATTTGGAATGCAAGAAAGAAATAGAACTTATTTGGAATGCAGCACAACTATTGATGTTAGACCCACGAACGAATATGTGTGAACAAAAAGTCAAGAAAATTGTTCATTTACAAAGTGTTGCAAATCAATTGCCTGATGCATTTGTAGACACAAATAAGGTGACAAAATCACATATACCAGTTGAAAATGCCCCTGCACGTATTGAAATCCCAACTGATAATAAGGCCATTGAGAATGAATCTCAAGCACGCAGAAAGCGTGGGAGACCACTTGGTTCAAAAGATTCTAAACCAAGGAAATTGAAAAGATTGGATGGAATAGAAAATGAGACTAATGATGTTCCCCCGTCAGATGGTCAAGAAAGACCAAATGTGGATGAAAGTAAAGAAAATGATGATAATCCTAAAGGGGACGAACAAGAAGACAACCCTACGGGGAATGAACAAGATGTTCAAAGCGTCAATACCAATGAAATTTCAATGAATTACGTCTCTACCAAGACTCATTGGAATAGGAAAGATGTTATCGTGGATGAAATATTTGCAAATTTATCGCAATTGACATTGTGTCTGATGAAAATGATGTTGAACCAAGAACAGTGGAAGGAGGCAATGCTGGCTGAGTTGAAGTCACTTGAAAAACGAGAAGTTTTCGGAAAAATAACTCTTACACCAGCAGGTGTAAAACCCGTTGGATACAAATGGGTATTTGTGAGAAAACCTAATGAGGAAAATGAGATAATTAGATACAAGGCAAGACTTGTAGCCCAAGGATTTTCTCAAATTCCAGGGATTGATTATGAAGAAACATATTCTCCAGTAGTTGATGCAACTACATTAAGATTTCTGGTAAATTTGACAGTCACAAAAGGACTGCAAATGCGATTAATGGATGTAGTGACTGCGTATTTGTATGGGTCACTCAACACAGACATTTACATGAAAGTCCCCGAAGGACTAAAACTACCAGAAAACCACAAACCTATACAATTACTTTCCATAAAACTAAAAAGGTCACTTTATGGATTGAAACAATTTGGAAGGATGTAGTATAATCGTCTCAGTGAATACCTTGTAAAAGAAGGGTTCAAAAACAACCAAATTAGTCCCTGTGTTTTCATAAAGCGATCACAATCAAGATTCGCTATTATTGCAGTTTATGTTAATGATTTGAATATCACCGGAACCCCAAATGAAATTGAGAAAACTGCAAAGTACTTGATGAAAGAATTTGAGATGAAAGACCTTGGAAAAACTAAATTTTACCTTGGATTGCAAATCGAGCACTTGAGTCATGGTATTTTTGTCCATCAATCAAACTATACATAAAGAGTTTTGAAAAGATTCTTCATGGACAAAACAACTCCAATCAACTTCCCAATGGTTGTTCGTTCTTTGAGTATGAAAAACGATCCATTCAGACCACGAGAAGAAAATAAAAAAATTCTGGGTCTAGAAGTACCATACTTAAGTGCAATTGGAGCCTTAATGTACTTAGCTAACAACACTAGACCCGACATAGCTTTTGTTGTGAACTTGTTAGCCAGGCACAACAATGCACCAACATATAGGCATTGGAAGGGAGTCCGACACTTACTCCGATACCTACGAGGAACACAAGACCTTGGTTTATATTATCAACCGAAACAAGATGCTGCCCTCGTTGGGTATGCTGACGCTGGATATTTATCAGATCCTCAAAATTCCAAGTCACAAAATGGATATCTGTTCACTTATGGTGGCACTGCAATATCATGGAAATCAACAAAGTAGACATTGACTGCGACATCCTCAAATCATGCAGAGTTGATAGCCCTTTATGAAGTAGGACGAGAATGTGTATGGCTGAGGTCGATGATTAGTAATATCCAAGAAGAGTGTGGAATGAAAGCAATAACAGAAAATCCAACCACCATCTTTGAAGACAATACAACATGCATCTCTCAAGTAACTGAAGGATACATTAAGGGAGATAGAACAAAACATATATCCCCAAAACTATTCTTCACACATGATCTGCAAAAGGATGAGGAAATAGATATCCAGCAAATTCAGTCTTGTGACAACTTTGCCGACCTATTCACCAAATCACTTCCTTCCAAGAAATTTGAGCAATTAGTTCACAAAATTGGAATGCGACATTTTCGTGAACTATGCTGAAATCAGGGGGAGTATTATATGCACAACACTCTTTTTCCCTTCGATCAGGTTTTTATCCCACTGGGTTTTTCCTAACAAGGTTTTTAATGAGGCAGTATAAAGCATATAATAATTTTTAGCTATGGTTTTATCCCATAAGGTTTTACCTAGCAAGTTTCACGAGACAACCCATACTCCATTTCATGTGAACATTCAAGGGGAAGTGTTGAAAATAATGCAAAGTGAAGTTCACATGAACTTCTCGAGTACAATAATTGGTACCAAATTTAGTATTTTAATTGTATAATAGTACAATTGTGCAAATAATTGTATGACAACATTTTGCCTATAAATAAGTTCACCATTGTGAACTATGGAAAAGATAAAAAAAAAAAAATTAATCGTAGCAGTATTTCTCTACTTATTCACTTCCCTATTTTCAATATCATTCTATAGAGAGAGAGTCACCTCTTAACAAAACCTTCGATTTAAAGGTTCTAGATTTTTTTATTTTTTTTTTTTTACAGAAATTTATACTCCCTCCGTCCCACAATATAGTTCTTGTTTTCCTATTTTGGAGACCTAAAATGTTGTTCTTGTTTCTATTTTTGAATAATATATAAAGACCATTATACCTTCATTTTTAAAACTTTATTCATTGAACTTCCTAATTTACCCTTAAATTATCCACTTGCATTGTACTTTTTTCATTTTCTCTCTCTAATTCTTGTCTATAATTGTACTTTTTACTTTTTTTCTCCTTAAATTATCCACTTGTCTTGTACTTTTGTCTAGCTTTTTTCCACCTTTAATGTACTTCTTCCACTTCTCCTCCCATTTCTTAAGTACCGTGAAAAAAACATAATAGGAATTATATTATGGGACGGAGAGAGTACATGCTAAGACAGAGCTTAATCATTGACATCATTCGAAATATGGTAATATCCAAAACAAATTAAATTAAATCAGAATAAATCCAAAACAAATTAAACTAAATCAGAATACTAAGAATCTAAAAAAAGAATCTTTTTCTTTTTTGGACTCATTGGACTTCTGCTGGCAGCTGAATCCCAAATGATTTTGTCTCCGAATAATAACCTCATTCTCCAATATCTATTTTGCTTAATTCGCCAATGTGAAAACCTTTTATTATTTGGTCAAAAATGTTGGGGTTAATATGCCTGCAAATTGTGGCTTATCAAAGGTGACCTTAGCTGTTCTCCTTCAATTCATACATTGTCTTAGTCCCCTTTTGGTTGGTAAGATATGGAAGGAAAAGAAAAGAAAGGAAATTTATGGTTTTTATGTTTGGTTCTTAAAATTGAAAGAAATTTGATAGGAAATGAAGGGAAATAGAAGGATAGCTCCCTTCACAAAATCTTCCTTTTCCTTTTCCTTTCCTTTCAAAATTGGAGGAATTTGAGAGGAAAAAAAGAAATTAAATCTATCAAACTTAAAATTAGTTTTTTCTTTCCTAATGTCATACCAAATAGTAGATTCTTCTTTTTTCCCCTCCTTTACTAATATCAAGCCAAATAATATACTACGTAGTTTCTTTCCTTTCTTTTCCCTTCCTTTCCTTTTTGCTTTCTTTCCTTTACTAATATTAGAGGTGATCAATATTGGCCCGGCTACCAGTCCGGCCTGAAAATAGAGCGAGTTTGGGCAAGCCTTAAAACACATTTTTAGTTAAAAACCCAAACCTGGCCCGAAAAAAGCCCGAAAAGCTCGCTTTGGCTTGACAAGCCCATTACTTTTTTACGGGTTTGGACACAAGGAATTATGTTAAGACCCGGCCTGGTCCGATTTTTGATCACCTCTAACTAATATTAAACCAAACAAAGCCTTAGTTGCGGTAATGCCTATTTCTTCAACCTCATCAACTAGCTTCTCTCTTTTTACCTTTAGAGGGTGTTTGGTACGTGGGAATTGAGGGTGGGATTGAGAGTTTTAATCCCAATTGAAGAAAAAACCTTGTTTTTTTTTTATGAGAATGGGAATAAAATGGGGTTTGGGAATGAGAATATTTAGGAGTGAATTCCCACCATTTTATTACCTAAAGAAGGTAGGTAATAAATAAATGGAAATGAAAATAGGTATAAAATGACATTTTTGCCATTAATGAAAAGAATGAAAAAGAAATACTAGCAAGAGTATATTTGTAAAATTATAATTTGTTCCCTGTATAATCTCACCCACTATTCAAATAAAGTATTGACATATTTTTATGTATTCCTAACAATTAATCCCCAAACTCCCGTTCCCGCATTCCAAACGCTGGTAAGTCTTCTCACCTTCTTGAGCTCTTCCTTTTCATGTTCTAATTCTGTTGATTCCCTCTCCTTACTTCTTTAGAGCTTGGGGATTTTTCTCCAACCTTTCTGCTCGCCATTTTCGCATGTACGCAACCAGCGCGTCGTCCTTTGTAGTGCCATTTTCGTGGAAGAGAGAGAAAGTTTTGTGAAATTCAGTAAAAACATCAACCAACGCCCACGTAGCCGCCTCTCTCCTTCTCCTTCTCTTTTTCTTTTCTGTTTAATCAACTATAATTTTAGTTTATGCAAGGTTTGGTTTAATCAAATTAGTTTATGTATCAGATATACTTCATTCATACTATATAAAATCAAATACCCTTTTTTGTAGTGTACAATTTCAAGTTAATTTATTCAGAAATTGGGTGTCTGTATTTTCGTAGTGTACAATTTCAAGTTAATTTACTCAGAAATTGGGTGTTGTTTATAGGTGACAGATTCAAACATCGCGGCATTTGACAGCATTTTCATGTAATTTTGTTGGTTGGTGTGGCAAACGACATGGATTTGAATAAAGATGGTTTCTTGAGTGATGAAGCTCAGAATAGTAGCATTTTCTATCATTTAAAATCTTGTTGTTTGGAGTTGCTTGACCTTCTGCAAAACCCCAAGAAGCAATCACCTGCTGTTTCTCAATTGCTTGCCCTTCTTTGTTCTTTGACTTCCGAGGACGTCGAACCTTTTTTTGAGTATGATGTTCTGCTTTCTTATTGTTGCATTTTTGTTTATTGGAATTAAGGCTTCATATTGCTGTTGCTGTTACTGTTGCTAATCCGAACGAATGCAATCTTTCATTATGTAAAGGTTTATTTGAATACAGGTCGAAGGAATAAAATGATGATTAATTTTAAACAGTTATATTGATGATTCAACGTTTATTCGTAATGCTTCAAATATCCTATTGTGTGCTAGTTTCATACTCAGTTTCACTATGTCCCTTATTGTTTGCTCCGTTTTTCTTTTAAGGCCATTCCTAAAAGATTGTTTCATTTCCATCTTTGATAATAAAGAGTCTCAACCAAAATTTAACAAAGTAATCAAATCTTGAGGGCAAACATTTGGGGCAGAGGGCGTATTGCCGTATTCATCACAAATTATACTTGTTTTTGTGATTATTTTGTTTACTTTGATTCTAATTTTAACCTCTATTTTTCTTTCAGCTATATCTTGTTTCCATTGCTGCTTCTAATGGATGCAGCAGTAGATTGCAGATCTGTTCAAAAACGTAATTGTGATGAAAAATCAGAAATACTCTTTGCCCATCAAACCCTTAAAGTGAGTGATGCTGTTTCAGAAGGCGTGCTTCAATGTTTGGAGGAGCTTTTTACCAAATGTCGTTTAGGTTCTGTAAACCAGGTTTGTGTATCCTTTTTAACACTTCTATTCATACCATAGAGCAACCTTACTTCTGTCTTGTGACATTTTTACTCCGTATATCTTCACCTTTCCTTTGCCTGCCAAAAACGTATTATCTGTTTTGCATGCCATCAGGGAGTTGTTGTAAACTGCATTCGTTATACATGTCTTTTCAGCAATGTTTTTGGGATTTAGTTTAGTCTTTATGTTCTTAGTTTCGGGTCGTCTTTGGGTGGCTGTGGGAGACAATATATATTAGGACAATTAAATTTTTTTTGTGAAAATTTAAGTTTAAAGTGCAAAGTACACTTGATTATTTGAAACTACCTAGATTACTACTAGACTCCTAATTCCCAAATGAATTAAAAAAGCTAACGCATTCCCGGGTTAGGATATTACTCCTGCATCCTTTTGTAGTTACACGCCTAAGTATTACTATAATAACCAGGAGTGCAATAAACTTTAAACAACATTTGAACTGGAATTGATTAAGTAATTCGGTCCATACTGCTAAGCCACATGAATTGGACTCAAACAAATAGATCAAGCCCAATTTACAAATTGCACCATGTAAAGTTCACACCTTAAGGGTTCGTGGAGAATCCATGGGCTTATTACTAAAGTAAGCAAGTAAATTAAGATATTTTAAGCAAGATTACTAAGCTATCTAGCAAGTTATGTAACATAAGTATGAAATATTTAACTAGATGAAAAATTGCGAACCAAGGTGATTGGTTCATCTTCTGAAGTTGAATATGAATCCTCATCACTTTTGTTGTTTGATTTCGATGTTAAGCCAGCAAATACGAATGCCAAACATCATGGTAACAAATTAGAAAAAGTAAAGTATTGTTTGGTTGCCCAAAACAAGTTGGGGAATTGAAAATTCATGTGAATTTGGATACAGGGTGTTTGTTTGGTTGATTCTTAAAAGTGAAAATGTAGAAAGTGCAAATTCATGGGAATCAAATTACCAAGCGTCCCTCTTGGTAACTCAAAATTCTCATGATTTGCAAATGCCTTCATAGCACTCAAACAAGTTTAGCCATTTCCTAGGAAATTTGATGTGGGATTAGATTCCAATGAAATACAAATGTCTATGGGAATTTGATTCCTATGTCAACCAAACAATACCTCACTGTTTCTTTGTTCAATTAGCTGAACATTGTTTTAAGTGCAATTGTCCATTATCACCATGATGTATGTTCATTATCAAAGGCAAAAGCAATATGAGGCAGTAATGTTTAGACACCACTGTGGGCCATTGAACTGAGGATCTGCATAGCCTTGGTCTTCTTGCACACAATTGAGGGGATTAAGTATTCATCCAAAAAAATAGTTTCTACTCACTCGGAATTATACTAATTGACACAGTCAATACCAATATGTGAGTTTGACCAACAATATGTATAAATAAACATTATTTAAAAAGTATTAAAAAGTTATTATTAAACTTCACAATAATATCTATTTAAAAACATTTTATACGATACTAGTTGATTTTCATACATTACTCAAAGCTATAGTCAAACTTAGTATATGAATAGTGAAGAATGTCAAAGTGTGTCAATTATTATGTACTGGAGGGAGTTTTTCTCGTCTTTTGTCCTCTGTTATATTCCAAACAAATGAAAATTTGAATATCATTTTCCTGGAAAGTTTGACTCTACCAAGTTAACAGAGCCGTAGTTGTCTTTACATTTTTATCATGGTTGAAGTTTGAACATTGATGCTACATGTGGCCTGAAGTTTTGAGTCTGCTTTTTGGTAGATGACTGTTGTGCTGAAGACATTGACTCATGGTGCCATGCTATCACCATTAGAGGCTGCAGAAGAGTTCCGAGAAGGAGTAGTCAAGTGCTTTAGGACATTGATTTCCAATATAATTCCTTGCTCTGACGCATCTTGCTCCTGCAAACACAGTTTTAGTCAACCTCCCCTTCTAGAGACTGAAGATTTTAGATGCTCAACTGCTGAACATTTGGAGTGTCATTCTCCAACCAAGGAATGCTTGATTGCATTTCTCCAATCAGAAAGTTCTTCAGCTGCTGTTGGACACTGGCTCTCTCTCCTGCTGAATGTATGTTGAAACCTTGTTTGTTATGCATATTGAATAATAAGATTATTTTTATTCACATGCTTATACGCGTTGCTAATTTAGCTCTTATCATTTTGCTTGCACCAAGATTGCAGAAGCCGAAAGCTTACGTGGTCTTAGGGGCAGTGCAAAGATTCGGATAGAAGCTCTTTTGACCTTACGCATACTTGTAGCAAAGGTAAAAATGAAGAGGTCTTATTGCTTATACCCAAAAAACTATGGTAGAAATGCTAATGCTTGGAGGATCTGTTCAACCCGAGCCTTTGGGTTGATCTTGACAATTTTATGTTTCTAATGCTTATGAGTTACTTGTAAGTTCTGCAGTCAGAATTTTGCTGGAATTGTAGAAATGTAGAAAAAAGTGTTTATTCTCATTTTTGTACGAAGTTTCGAGTAATATTCGATATCTTCTCAGTGAATGTTATTTCCCCTTTTGGCAGGTTGGTACTCCAGATGCCCTGGCTTTCTTTCTGCCTGGAGTTGTTAGTAAATTGGCTGGAATTTTGAATGTTTCCAAATCTATGATTAGTGGGGCTGCTGGAAGTACTGAAGCTACTGATCATGCAGTTAGAGGCTTGGCGGAATTCCTCATTGTAGTCCTTCAGGATGATGCCAATATATCTGACCCTCGTGTGTCCCACAACAATTTGCCTGATTTGCTTTCATATGAGAATGAATCTCCGCAATCTTTTCTGAAGGAGCTACGCCACATGCATGTCAAAGCTCAGGATCGGATTCAAACTCCTGCAAATAATTTATGTCTAAAAGCACCTACTACCAAGGAGGAACTTCAGGAGAAGCAAAGCCACAAAATCAGTGGGGGACTAGGGCCTTTGCATGTCAAACGTACGAGAGACTGGCTTGAAAAAACTTCAGTCAATATTGACAGTTTGTTGAGCAAGATATTTCCACATGTATGTTAATAGGTTTGATTTGTTATCTGAATTTAGTTTGTAGAATAAGATTCTTCACAAGCTGATAAACTTTAACTTGAATAAGTTGCTTCATTAGAGTCGACTATGAACTGTGCTTTATCACTGTTATTGCCATATATCAGAAATTTCAATTGCCAAAGCTGGTTCAGAGCTATCTTCTTTCTTTCTCAACTATAATGTACAGCCTGCTAAACCGTGTCTTTGATGCTCTTGTCAGATATGTGTGCATCCATCTAAGAGAATAAGGCGTGGGCTTGTCTCTGCAGTACAAGGACTCTTATTAAAGTGCAGTTATATTTCGAAGGGGAGCAGATTGATGCTTTTGGTAGGATGACAATAATTGCTGCTGCTTCATTTTCCTTTAATTTGATTCTCACTTACTTTGATTATCTCTGATAAACATTATCTTTTATTATGAGGTACCCAGGGAGATGCCAAACATCTCAAATTCTGAACATGCCAAAATAAAATTGTAGTAGTCAGTGGTTTTGATTTGTGCTTCTGAATTGTTTGAATATAAGTAGTAAAATCTGATTCTTGTGTCATTTAATATTTATGCCACCAATTCACTTTCAGAAGTACCTACAGTACTTAGAGACCCTAAGTAACTGGTTGCAAAAATCTATTATATCCACACATGCACCAACTACCTACCCACCTATAGGGTTTTGAATCTAGTAATGAGTTCATGCTTACACCAGTGTTGATTAATTTAAAAACTAAAGTTTTTGTTTTTTTTTTTTCCTTATAATACTCTGTTAAAGTTCATCATATGTGAGCTGGAGGTTAATTTTTCTGCTGGTACACTTCTATTCGAACTGCAAGGTGTTTTTTTTTTTTTTTTTCCAAATTTAATTTTAGATCTAGAAGTCTATTTTCAGAAATAATAATATCAAGGTCTAAGTTTATATAAATCTTCACTCATATATAAAAAAACAACCAGGATATGGTATAAGTTATCTTTTATTTGTTATATACTTTTAGTTTTACATATCTGCTGTATTAACTATCTAACACATTAATAGAAGTGGACATTTTTGTTAGGCAAAATAAAATATTTATAGGAAATTGAGGAAGAGAAAGAGGATAGTTGAGGACAACATATCCTCCAAAAACTGACTAGACATTCTCTAGATAACTGACCAATTTTAATTAATTGAGGTCTCTCATCATCTCTCCAAATATTCTTCAAAAATATGACTATAGACTAGCAAAACTATGATGTTAACCTTTTGTATTACATTCAGTCAGTTGGACCAAAACTTTCAATACATCATGAGCCTTGCTGCACAAGCTGGCTTAGAAATCCATTATCTTCCTTATAGAGACCTGATCAACATCTACCTCCTAATAATTTCAATACTTTGTAATTTTCTTCCATGTAAACCAATTGAGTGTTGTTAAGCTACTGATACTTCTTTTCCTTGCTCTTTCCTAATGTCGTATGCTGCGCTTGAGCACAAACTTTAAGTTTAGCCTAAATGCTAGTTGTCTTGTGATGTAGAAAACCTGTTTGGTGAACAATCTGATTAGCTTTGAAGTTTTAACTTTCTAATACATATTTTCGATTAATATGTTACGTGGGGATTTCGATACTGCAGGTGTGTTGGTTTTACCTACTTTATACTGCTTATTACTCCTAACAAAAGCTTTGTTTCTGTCATATTTTTAGTTGTCACTTGGTATATTTGATGCAGGGCTGATGTTCTTGCGTTTAATTTACACATGATTAGACTGTTATTATTTCACTACATTCACCCCTATTGATATTTAATGCATAATAGCAAGATTAGTAAAGTTGTTACGTTAGAATAATGAAACAATACTAGTTGTGAACCAAAATATCTTATGAAATAACAGTATTAGGGTTCAACAATATGTTTGCCTAACTGTCTAATGCTGCCTACACATCCCAGTATTTGAGGAAATGTTTAGATGGAATGGAACCTTTGGTTTGTTCTTTTTTCCAATCTCTTTGATTTATCTGTAGTACAAAAATGCATGATATCTGATGACTTCTTGATACTATATTATTGTTTCCCTCTCGAGAGTCTCTGAGAGCTGTGACTACCTTTATGTATATTGGGCATCTTGATAAACATTAATCAAATATTGAGCAGATAAGGTAGATTGTTTAAGACACCTTAGGTTGCAGTTCTTGCCCTTGATAGTAATATGTTGGTTGAGCTTTAGAGGAATAGAAATCAAAGTTCATTTTCCCTTAAAAGCAATGTGAATGTAAATTGAATAAAAGAGACTGATAATTCAATAGCATCTCTCTCTCTCGCTCACCCCCCCCCCCCCCCCCCCCCCCCAAGTGAGTTAGCTAGAATGTCAACTAAGATGCACCTCAATCTATTTCAATGCTTTTTCCATTATTACTGAAAAATTAGGAGTTCTGAAAATAGGTGAGATTATAGAGCTTAAGAGTCTAAGAGTGTAGACGAAGGATTAAAGACCATTTTATCAAGAGCTTGACATGACATGACTAGGCAACTCGACATTAACTCGAAAATACTCAAAGAAAACACTAAGTCACGGCACGACACAACCAACCCAAACACAACCCGTATTAATAATTGGTCAAATTATGCAATTACCCTACTTTTCACAAAGTTTATTGATATTGTGAACAAGTAATGAACACGAGATCAAACATGAACATGACACGACACAACTATCTGCCACCTCAACTATTTTCCTAAAACATTGGAAATTACAAATTTTATAAAATTAGAACTTTTTGAGATAACGAAGCGTGGCTTAAAAACATATTAGATTATTCAATTTTTAGGTGATATGTGAAAGATTTTTTAACACTATCGTGTCTTTTCGTGTTGCATCTGCATTTCATATTTCTGCATGGAACTAGTGCCAAATCTATATGATGGAGGGAGTATTATTTACCTTCTTTATTTATTTATTTATTTATATGTTGCCCTAAAGATGGTTTTACTATCACTTTTGAAATGTAAGTGGAAAGTGTTTATTTGATGTATATCTGAACTATCATAGTCGATCTTTGTTTCATGTTTGCTAGATTATTCTTATAATTGTTTTTGGCTTTAGGAATGCTTGGGAAAATTGGCTTGTGATGATTCTGAAGATGTTTCCATGCCTGCTCAAGATGTCCTTGGATTATTGTTCTCGTCAGATGGAAAACATACTGTTGAGGATGATTTAGCTGAAATTTTTAGCAGGTCCATATTCACTAGCTCTGAATTTATTGGTTACTTGTTCTTGAATTTAGCATAAACTTTCATTTCTGTATTGTCTTTTTTCTTAATAACAGGCTACTTGAGAAGCTCCCTAAATTAATTCTTGGATGTGAGGAATCTTTGGCCCTTGCTTCTGCTCAGCAGATGCTTGCCATGATCTACTATTCTGGACCTCAACTTGTTGTTGATCACCTTTTGCGTTCTCCTGTATGTCCTTTCATCAATATTATGACACTACTTTGTAGATATGTCATCTTTTTGCTGTTCCATCAATTTATAGATTACTGTCCCTGCTAGTCTTTGTAGGATGCCTTTTTACCCCTCTTATCTAGTGTTCATTTCATTGATGTTTATCCTTTCCATCACTTGAAATATGTTTGTGTAGCTGTGTTATTGCCTGGTATTTGAAAGTTTGAATAAGAGAAGTTATTTTATGATAAAGAAGGATACCTAAGTTTGCAGACAGATGAGGGAACTATTCTCAAATAAGGGAAAACCATTCCAACTTGACCACTGTAGATTCAAATTACACCCCAAGCAAGATAAGGGAACTATTTGGCAAGAGCCCAAGAGGGTTACTCCCTCTTTTAGCTGATCATGAATTTTTTAGTTCATTCTATCGGCTCTTAGCTCATTCAAAAGACACCATTTTAGAATCTTAATGAATTCTTAATTTAATTTCATTTGTCTTTTCTTTTTTTCTTTATCCATAAAATACCGATGGGCCATCAATTCTTCTGTTTGATCTAGAGCAGAACATATAAAGAATCTTTAGATATCTGATGTTGTAGAAGTGAAAATAAAAAGCCTTTCCTATAAGCTTTATACTCTGTTTTTTTTTTGTTGGTTTCATTTATTGTAGCTACAAAAACCAGAAGGGTAGGGGAGTGAAGGAAGCAAGTTTGGTGTGTGTTAGAAAAAGTAGGAAAGAGAGTGATGCATTAAAAAGTAGGAGATAGAGTGGTGTATGTGAGATATAAGGATTAATGTGGAGATAGATGTCTGTCAAATTAGGAATTAATTAATAGTGTAACCACTGTCACAAAAAAAAAAAAAAAAAAAATGGGCGGAGAGAGTATTTTATCTGTTTTTGTATGTGGAATTATTTGCACCTTTCAGTTTATCTGCTGATTTAATTATGAGCTAAAAATCACAGCTAATTATAAATATATGACCATGCAGATTAAGGCTGCTAAGTTATTTGATGTATTTGCCTTGTGTCTGAGTGAGGAGTCTGTCTTTGCTGGCTCTCTTGGAAAAATAGTCTTATCAAGGCCCTCTTCTACTGGATACTTGCATTCTCTTGCAGAGTTAAAAATTGGCAGTAAGATTTCTGAAGACCAATTTCCTGTCAATAATTCCAATACATATGAAGTGTCAAACGTGCACACTTTGGTCAAAGAAATGGAGTATTCCAAAGGACAAACTTATGAGAATTATGAACTTCCACGTATGCCTCCTTGGTTTGCCTATGTAGGCTGTCATAAATTGTATCAAGCACTTGCAGGAATTCTTAGACTTGTGGGTTTATCCTTAATTTCTGGTAAAGTATCTTTCCTCAATTGTATAATTTTCTGATTGGATCCTGATGTTCTTGTCAATATTCTGACTTATGTGTATCTTGTTTCTGTTTTCTCTGTGCCAAACAGACTATAGAAATGAAGTGCCGTTATCAAAGATTATTGAGATTCCTTTGGATAATTTGCGTAAATTAGTCTTTGAGATACGTAGGAAGGGGTATAATAGTGAAAGCTGGGAATCTTGGTACGCTAGGACAAATTCAGGTCAATTGTTGCGGCAAGCTGGAACTGCTGCATGTATCCTTAATGAAATGTTATTTGGCATGTCAGATCAAGCTATGAATGTCTTTGGAAAAATATTTAAGAAGTCAGGAGTAAGAATTGAAGAGAATCAAAATAGTGATGCCTCTGCTTTTGGTCATTCTTGCCAAGTACGATGCAATGTTGCTGATGGATCACATTGGCAGACTAAAGGCGCTGAGAACATGAGGCAGCATGTCATTGATTGTGTTGGTACCATTTTACATGAGTACATAACTCAAGAAATTTGGGACCTTCCAGTTATACTTGAAACATCTCTTCTTAAATCTGGTGGTGAAAGTATTGATAAGAACTTCTTACACGATGTTGCCAAACTGCACCAGGAAATGACACTTCCATAACTTGTCATTTTAAGCTGCTTTTTATTGTTTTTATATCTTGTCTAGCTCTAAAACTTCTCATATTTATTACCAACAGGTGCTCATTGAGGGAATTGGGATCTTCAATATTACACTTCATGAGCATTTTGCTTCAAGTGGATTCCTCTGTTCCTCTCTATATCTGTTGCTTGAAAACCTGATGTGCTCAAACTCTGACGTCAGGCATGCATCTGATGTTGTGCTACGTTTAATTTCTGCCACATCTGGATGCGCATCGGTAAGAGTCATACTGTGTCTTATGCCTTTTGCCAATTCCTTGTTTACTGACTTTCTGTCCCAAACAATCCTCAGGTTGGTCACCTAGTTATGCTAAATTCAGACTATGTTATTGATTCATTATGCCATCAATTGCGTCATTTGGATCTGAATCCTCACGTCCCAAACGTGCTTGCCGCAATGCTATCTTGTGTTGGTGTGACTCATAAAATATTGGCATTGTTGGAGGAGCCGGTATGTTCCAAATTTTGTTGATTGTGAAAACTTGTTTTGCTGTCCTTTTGTTTCTGGTTCTTGAAGTGCTTGGTTATAGAAAAAAAAGGGTGATTCTCGGTTTTGAAAGTCAAATGACAAATGCTATGTCTTCTTGATGGAATTCATTTCTCTTTTTCCCCGTAATAAAGTCTTTGATTGGTTTAATTAATTAAGGTATCATTGAGAATCCAAGAATACCATAATTTGGGGATGGAATCTTAATGGGGTAATTATAAATGACCGCGGTCAGAGTCAAACAGTTTCAAATATACTCCAAAAGAATCATACCTTGACTTTAATAAGATGTAATAACTAACAATAGTAACAACACTTTAGTCATAATTTGTCGCAATATGTGTGGAAATGTTTGTCTATCATAAGCATTAATTTATGAATGTACTTGAAAATTGTACAAAAAGAACATTAATTAATGCGCTTCCCATTTTTTAATTACTACTCCCTCTGTCCCTTATCTACATGCCTATTTCCCATTTTTCACGGGAATTAAGAAACTTAAAGATTCCTTAAAACCCATGATTGGGGAATACAAATGTGCATGTGGGGTTAGAGAGAGATAGAGAGAAAGAAAAGGTAGTTGGTAATTATTGAAGTGATAGAGAGAGAAAGTTTTGGGAAATGATGTCAAAAGTACAAAAAAATAAAAGAAAATTGATGACAACTCATCAAAAGAAGGAATATTGTCAAAAAGTACATTCTTTAAATAGAAATAGGCATGTAGTCTTGAAACCCCAAAAAAGGAAAGTAGGCATATAGATAATTTTATGTGGTTATTAAGGAAAATAATATAGTGAAAAACGATAATTAGATGTCACATATAATAAAGTATCAAGGCATTAAGTGAACGTTGGAAATAGGAATTTTCATGATGGGAGTAGGTAAATATTTTTGTAAACAGGAATAGTTGCTTCTGATTCATTGATAGGAAGAGTATCATTTACCAACTCCGCCAAGGCCCCAGGCAATGCACCAACTTCATCTTATTGGCCCCCTTTCTCAATGATAGTTTGTTTCTTTGCCTTCTTCCTTGCATTAACTCCTCTGTGCTACTCCCTTATATCAGTTACACTCACAGCATTTCTCAGTCTGATTGATAAAATTTGAAAATTGGGGAAGAAACCCTAATATTTCAAGAACCTTCAATTCAAAGAATTAAGCACAAATTACAGAGTAATTTAAACATCACCTTGGTCAAATTCAATTGGGAAAGTCTTCAATTGCAAACACTAACTACCTTAGCGCTGATTTCGATCTTCGATTGAGATTAAATGAGCAAATGGGAATGAAGTTAGAGGCAGCAGATTTTAACGAAGGGAAGAGGGTGGAAATAGGAAAAAGTAAGGTCATGTGACCTGCACACCCCAAGTCAATGCCGGAAATAGGTCGGTCAACATTGGAAAACGGGATTAGGCTCTCTTACAAAAAAAATCTACATTTAAGGTTTTAACTTGCCAAAAAAAATTTAGAAGGTTTTTTCTGACAAAAAAGGTTGCTTTAAATTTTTTAAATTTTTATTTACAAACTTTCCTTCATCTTATTTGTAGCAATTTATTTGGCATCTGCCAAAACATAATATGAGTTTACCAATGCTTGCCATATGGTTGAATTTAGTTTGCTGCATATTATAGATTCATAATATACCTTTTTTTGTAGGATAATAAATCAATATGTTGAAACTTTTTCTTAAAAAAAAAAAAATTATATGGTGGTAAATCAATTAATGTATATATATTTAGCGCTAATATGATGTTGATAATAACTTTTTTTTTTTGCACAATAATTATCTTGGAATAGTATATGAAATTCTTGTAATAGTATTATGACAAATGATAGGGCCTGCCTATAAACTAACATAGGCCTGTACAATAGTTATTAATTAACCTATCATAGTATCATGCCTGCATATATAGTTTTATTTTACTTCGAGGGTGCAATGGAGAGAGAGAGGGACAAATGTGGCTTTTTTTTTTTTTTTGCACCCTCTTTGTAAGTTGGGGTTTATGTTTTGGATCCAGTACTTTTGTTCTAAACCCCTGATAATTAGTAACTCTATAATCTATGATGGGTGATAATAAGTGTAGCTCATGCCTTTTTTCAGTTTTTTGTGTAAATCATTAGTTATAAACTTTATTTACTTGAGTTATTAGTCATTGAGCTAGCAAATATGATAAGAAATGTTGAAAGCAACTAGAGTTGCCTTGGCTGATTCTCTTTAGGGTTTTTGTATATATTTTTTTTCCAAAATTGGCAAGTTTCAAGCAAATTCTTACATCACACTTCTAAAATGGTGCCATAAATTTCAATTGTATTGTTTGAGACATCTACCTGGCTTTTTGGTCCTCTTAAAACTATGTAGAACATCAACTATCTTTGCCATCCATTATTTATGGTATGTGACTTGTTATGCCTCGTTCTTTTTGTAGATGCGCTCTGTTTCAATGGAACTGGAAATCCTGGGAAGGCATCAGCATCCAGAGTTGACTATTCATTTCTTGAAGGTTTTTATTTAAGAAATGTTTATTGATGATTTTCATCACTGTTGATTGTACATTATTAGTCATCTGCTTCCTATCTTGGTATTAAACTGTTATTAGCTTATCTTATCATTGAAATATTGCCATATTGGCATTTTCAGGCAATTGAATTTTCTGAGTGCATTGTGTGAATACATTTTATACTCTGTACTTCTGATTTTCAAATCTTAATTAGCTAGTATATGAAAAGTGATCAAGAGTCATGCAGACATTATGAAATTGATGGCTTTTGGTTTGCACATACTAATGTGATTATCTGTTCCTAGGAATGAATAGATAGATTCATAGGTAGGTATCTAGTCAGAATAAGCCATACTAGCGAAGTTTAGATCACTAATTAGGTGTTATTTCCTACTTTACATTGTGTAAACTGGCCAGTTTGCCATCCTTTGGCTGTTTTCGTGGTCAAAATAGTTGCTAAGACTTTAGAATGTCTTGTGACTGAGGTTATGCATTTATACTTGCTGTGGTTTTTTTAAACACAAACCTTAGAGTGTTAGCTTACAGGCTTACAGCGTGTGTAAGAAGTTTTTTGGTGTCTCTGTGCATTGCTTGTTTATTAGATAATTTAGCAGGACAATGGAACTTGGAAAAGAGCGGCTAGGCTAAAGAATTTTCTGTTTGGTTGACAAGGACTATCAACCCTTTTTGGCAAAGAATTTTGGATAGAAAGTTAATCAGCTCCCCTTCCTCATCACACAGAGAACACAAAAAGAAAATTTTGCCACAGTACCTGATTAATAATGTTGATGTTGAAAGCTATGTTACCAATTGTATCACTGGTATGTTTGTGATGATGTTTCAATTTTCTGTCAGGCTGTAGCAGAGATGGTTAAGGCAGCTAACCACGAGGCCCAATTGTTGCCTGCTCAAGCTGAATCCTTTTTGGCATTTGTTAATTCTAAAGTATCTGATGTGAAAATTGAACTCGAACGGGATACTATTAATGCAGAGGAACCAGGTATATCAGTATGTGAAACACTATATGCTCTCCCTGCCCCTGAAAATCCATTGCTCTGGGCATCCTATCAAGTTTCATACTCTGTACCTGTGTAACGCAAAATTTTGGTTCAGGCAGATTTATGGAGTCTTTTATATTAATTGATCAAAGAGGAATACAGCTTCTAGTGTCCAATCTTTTTGCTTTTGCAAAGTGTTTTATTGTAGGGCCAAATGATCAATGGTAGATATTAGGTGTTCCATTGGCAATGTAGAAATGCTATTTCTAAACGACTATTCCATTTCCTCGCCCCCCCCCCCCCCCCAAACCCTCCTCCTCCTCCTCTTTCAAGCCAATATGACTAGTTTGTCTGCTTGGACAAGCCATTCTATGTATCATGATTATCTCTGCTTTAGGTGATTTACTGGTTTGTAGAAAATTTGTGCTCTTGGCATTTAAATGCGATGAATTTCCTTTAATTTGGTGCTTTTAGCAAATTTGGTGCATACTAGAAACTCTTTCTATTACCTACCTTTCAAGTATGCTCTTACTTTTGGTTATGCATTTTGCAGAGCTATGTGATGTTGCCTTTAGTCAAGACATTGTTGTGAAAGTGAAGGAGTGGGAGAATATTTTGTTTAAACTAAATGACAATAAGAGGTATCGTCGGATCGTTGCATCTGTTGCAGTATCCTGTTTGAGAGCTGTTACTCCGTTGCTTGGATCTGAAAAGGAACCAATATGCTTGATTGCATTGAACGTAATTGAGGTATCTTTAGATTTTTCATCCAGAAGTATCATCATTTGCACTTGCTAATTGTTTTTCTCAATTAATGTATAATTTGCTTCCATTTGATTTAAAAACTCTTCTCCTCTACTCTATTCTCTAAGTAGTACAGTATCATTTGCTGTGAAATATGATGGCCCAATACCTCTATATGTAAGGCTTTTTTTTTTGTCTGTGGTTTTACTTGTCCTAAAGTACATGTGTGTGTGTTGCAAATCTAAGATGTAGAGTGGCTACAAAGTTATTTATGCGAGTGTTGTCAGATTGGTGGATTACAGAATAACAGAAAGCTCTGTTTCAATTGAATGTATCAAGATGCTGGCTAGACCTCAATTTAGTTGGGCTCATTTCTCTAATCAAGTATGTAATTAGTTAACTGATTCTTTCCTCCCCGCTGTAGGATGGTGTTGTGACACTGGCAAATGTGGAGGAAGCGTTCAGGCATGAGAGAGAAGCTAAAGGAGGCATTGAAGAAGTAGCATCTTTGTGTTCCTTTTATCATCTTAAAGACATTCTTGATATTGCTGAGGAGGGGAATGATGAGATTAGACTACTTCCAATGATGAACACAATATGGCCATATTTGGTTGCTTGTGTACAAAATAGGATCCCTGCGGTAAGCATCTTCTCCCTGCGTTTTCTATTCATTGGCATTGCTACATGTCCCTATTATAGAAGTTTTATATTAAATGCTACATATCCATATTTGGTAATTTGTTTTCTTTCTCTCTCGATACACGGTTTGCCCATGTTATCTCTCTTTATCTCACTCCTATTACATAGTATATTTGCGTCCCTGACGTGCAACAGATAATAGCAAACGGAGAAGTAAATCTTTTGGTTCTCCTTTCAGCCACAAACTGCTATTGTGTAATCTGCGATATATCACAAATTTGTTCTTGTAGGCCCTATGAATAAGATTGACTGTTGTTCTCTTTAATGGTGAGAGTGGTATCAGATGGAGAGGTTTTCTGCTGATTGGTTCTGTTGTATGTGTTGGAGTATAACAAGGCTGCGAGGAAAATGTAAAGCAGAGAAATTACTAAAATGATTTAGTGATATTGGGTGTCTAGTTAGTAAAAGGCGACTTACAATTTGTTAGAACTTATAAACAGCTCATGAATCCAAAAAAGAATCCCAGATAAAGCCATAAAGAGCAATATAATTAAGGCCTTCCATTAATCCAACAGTATGCTGCGTATTTTATCTAGTACTGTATAATTAACTTTTAAGATGGGAAGGTTTTAATTGTAGGTTAAATACTAATTCTGATAGCCTTGTAACTTTTGCTGTTAGCATAAGCAAATTTTTCATTCTTTAGTGCTATTTTCTATTTTTTTATTTCTATGTTAGTTTTCTTATTGTTGGTTATAATTTTTCAATGGATATTATTTATGTTTTTTCCCTGGTTGTTTGCCTTTTCTCAAGCCCACTCCCCACAAAAAAAGAAAGAAAAAACAAACCTTTTTTTTGCCATTAATCTACTCCTGTCCCTTGCTCAAATTTCACTATTGTATGTCGACCACCCCCGCCCCCCCCCCCCAAAAAAAAAAAAAAAAAAAAAGGAAAAAAAAACTTTTGTTTGCCATTATTCTATACCTGTTCCCTGTGCGAATTTCTAGTAACTCCCTCTCTCTTTCCCTTAGCATACCCTGAAAATTTTCTTTATGAGGGTTCAGGCGTTCCTTTCCTTGCAGCTCCGTCCTGAAACTACCAGCAACAATTTTTAGAAATAGAATAGAAGGGAAGCTGTTAGTTATGGGAAGGTAGAAATGTTTAAAGGGGATAGAAACAAGACTCGGAAGGTTAAGGGCAGAGGGTGAAAGAGTGTCAGAAAATCTGATAATTCACAAGGTATTGTTTTTGAATTTTCTTCTAAAAATAAACAAGCGGGAATTGGCACTAAACATTGCAAGTTGTTTCATCCCTACAGTTGTACAATCTTTGGAGAAAAGGTAATTTGTCAACTGTTACTTATATAGGTGATTTAACTGCTGCTATTACTAATAGTTTTTCCTCTTTTTGTGCGGGTATGGAAGGAATGTGTGGGGTGCAACTGTTGCTCCATTTTGCTTGCATTTCCTTATAATTCTCATGTTCTTGCAGCCTGTTCGTAGATGTGCAGAAGTAATAAGCAATGTGGTGAAAATTTGTGGTGGAGACTTTTTTTCTCGACGTTTCCATACTGATGGGTCCCATTTTTGGAAGCTCTTAAGTATATCACCGTTCAAAAGAAAACCTATTTCAAGTGATGAGAAAGCACCACTTCTACCTTATAGAAGTACTTCTCGCACATTGGAAGATCCCATCTCTGAATCTTCCAATCTGAAAACCCAAGTAGCAGTGCTCCGCATGATTGCTGAGTTGTCGCGGGATAAGAAGAGTGCTTCAGCTCTTGAAGTAGTACTTAAAAAAGTTAGTGGTCTTGTGGTAGGAATAGCATGTAGTGGTGTGACTGGGCTCTGGGATGCTTCAATAGACGCCCTTTCTGGACTTGCATCGATTGATCCTGATCTCATATGGCTTCAACTGGCTGATGTGTATTACTCTTCGAAGGAGGAAGATGTGAAACCATCCAGTTCCGGATTTCCTGAGCTTGCAGAAATTCTTCCGCATCCTATGTCTTCAAAAGACTACCTCTATGCACAGTATGGAGGGCAGAGTAATGGTTTCGATGTTAATTTTTCTTCAGTTGAAAATGCATTCAAGATATTGTACCCTGAAATGTTTCTTATACAAATACAACACTAGCTCTGTAGCAATTATGTATATAAGTCATTTCAATTATTCTGTAATGTACAATTGATGAAGATGAGGATTGAACTACCAATCTGAGGCTTGACCTAGTGGATTTTTTTTGCATTTACAACATGAGGTTTAAGATCAAATCTCACTAAGGGGCACTTTAAGGTGAGAAAATTCTCACCCTTTTCTCGGCCAATTGACAAATAAAAGACCCTTAGCGACAATTTGGTAAAAAAACAATCCGGCGACAATTTGGTAAAAAAAGCTAACCTTAAGTACAATTTGGTAAATAAAATAATCTCAGGTGACAATTAACTCAGAAATTACAAAAATTTCGGATAAATTATTTGTGAATGCTTATTTCAGTTTGTTTTTCTTGTTTTTTTTACCAACCCTTTTTATGGAAATAACAATTTGAAGGAAAAAAAAATGTTAAGCATCAATTTTCACTTAAGTTTCATACCCTTTATTAACGATTTTTTTTTTAAAAAAAAGGTTGGAAATAATGAGGGATGACATATTAATTCAAAAAATTTAATGGGAAAAATAAATTAAAACACAAAAACAAATTAAATAAGGATTTTTAAGGAGTTTGTCCGAAAAAAATAGATTTTTTGGTCTAAATGTCGCTGGAACTTATTATTTTTACCAAATTGTCGCATATGGTTAGCTTTTTTTACCAAATTGTCATCGGAGTAAGTTTTTTTACTAAATTGTCGCTAGGGGTTTTTTTTATTTACCAATCTGGTCAATTGGCCCCCTTTTCTCAATATATTTATTTTTATAATGTCATAATTTGACTGTGGAATCATGCAAAATTCTCGGTGTCACAATACTAAAAAAAAATTACCTTGTCCATTACAATATTGAGAAACAAAGGCGATATGACTATAGCCAAAAAAAAGCATGAGATTCTTGATTCTACCATGGGTATCAGTAGGGCCATGGTAGAAATGAGAACCTTAGGCTTTCCAATTTTTCATCATCTTGATCTTGAAATCTTGTGTTTTTTTTGGCATTTGATAAAAAATGATGAAATTAAATATGTTAATTAAGTTAAGGATAATTCTTGTAATTAATAATTTTTAGTAGTAAGTAAACATATTTGACTCTTTTGTTAATTGTGTGAAATTACCAATTTGGCAAAGTAAGAAATGCCTAACTTTTCTACCACAACACAATAGAGGTGATCATTGTGCAGGCCGAAGGCCTAAGCCTTAAGAAGAAATAGGCCATCAAGTTGGGCTGGGCCAAAGTTCAAGCCGGAAATGCTTGCCTAAACATGCAAATTTTGACCAGGCCTAACGGCCATTTCGGGCCATACCAAAAAACTGTAAAATGAATGTCCAAGATCTGTCCAATTTTTTAAAAAAAAAAAATTTGGGCTAAGCTGGGTACAATCTAAATTCTACAATTTTTTACCTACACCCCTATGTAGGTAGCTCTACTTGCACCCCCTTCCATCATAATGACGTCATCTTATAATTTTTCGGATTTTGAATTGCATGTAAAATGTTCATTTTTATACATATAAATGTTTCATTTTTTATCATTAAATGTTCAGTCTTGTTAATACGACGTGTTATATTTGAATTAGCATATATTTTTTCTATTATTATTTTTAGACTATTTTTCTTATTGATTTGTCTTTTATTTAGTAAAACTAATAAGCTTTGTTTGAAAATATATCTTTCAATGTAAAATAAATTAATTCAATTACAATTATAATATCATTTTAAATTAATACATACTCATTGTTTATTAAGTATAATAGGGAACTCTTTTAACTTTTTAAATGTGCGCATGCTTAATTTTAAAAGCAATAAAAAAAAAGTGCAATAAAAAATAGACATCATTTTCTTCAAAAAGTAATATAAAAAAAAATATACATATTATATATATATATATATATATATATATATATATATATATATATATATTATATTTGTGTCTTACAAAATGATTATTGCATTTTAATTTAATACATTTTGTATAGGTAAAAAGTATATAGAATCATTATCCTTGTCGATCATACGGTTGTACCCCTTCTACTCTTATGATTTTAGTGTGGTTTCCTTCGTACATATCTTTTTCTCAATATATACATAATCTTCTTCAACCTTTTTTTTTTTAATTTTTTTTATTACATTGTCCTGTGTAATAAGAGATCAAAATATTTTAAAGGAAAATGTTAGTAACAATAAAAATACATTATAAACAAAATATGATAAGTAAATCAAATACAAAAACAAATTTGAACACATTGCCAAAAAATAAACAAGTTCAATATGAGAATGAACAAATATTAATATCTAAATGAACATCTTTCAACATAAAAATGAACATATACCAAAGGTCAAATGAACATCTTCAATACGAGAATGAACAAATATAAAAATTTAATTGAGCATTTTCTAATATAATAACAAACAAGTGTTAAAAATTGAAACAAATATCTTTTAATATGAGAATGAACAAGTATAAAACTAATGAATATGCTTAGATATAAAAATAAATATTGTATTAGATTGCAAATGAACATCTTGCCATATGAGAACGAACATATAGTTCAAAGAGAATGGACATGTATCAAATTTAAAAGAATATATATTAATATGAAAATGATCAAAATGAATATGAATTCCATCAAAATAATATTTTTTTTCCATCTAAAAGCAACATTTATGATAGATTAAAATTTACGAGCTAAAATTTGTCAAATAATAGTTTTTAATGACAAAATAAGTGATATTAAATAATAATTGATGGTTCAATTTCATAAATCAAATTGATAATTTGTCTTTAATTTTAGTTATTATAAATTTATAATTTAATCTTTTTTTGTAATTATAATTTGAATATCAATCCTTCTACAAATAAACATAAAGTCCATCTAAAATGAACATTTACGATAGATTAAATGCACTAGCCAAAATTCACCGAATAACATTTTTAATTAAATTATAATATAATTATGAAAAATTCTTATAACATAATTCAATTATTATAATAAGAATCACTTCCATTAAAAACTATGAGAATCACAAACTCTAGTTGAAATTTCGTATTAGATTTGTGAAGAATTCTAATGATTATTTATTAATATGTAAATGACCATATACTAATATATAAATGAACATTTACCAAAATAAAAATGAACATTCATAAAAAAAAATAAAAAAATCCACTACGAACTAAATTTACATTTCTATAATCCTACGAAATAAATCCAATTGTTCATTATATTAGGGCAATTGAACTCTATTTTTAATTTTTTATCCAGTAATTTTATAAGCTAATAATACACACCACAAGTTAAATCAACTTAAATAGAGTATATAAAACATCATTCTACTATATCATTGGAAATCATTATTATCAAGTAAAATTATAAGAAATCATGAACTACTACTATTGAAATTTCATATTATTGAAGAATAAGGCAAATAAAAAGTTAGGGTTTGAACTTTTTTTCGAAAAATAAACAAAATCATTAACTTACAATTTGATTGTTGGTCGTTCTATTGTAGAAATTTTCTTCGATTTCTTGATCTCTTCTTTTACAAGCAGAGATCTAAGAGCATTTTGATTTATTTTTCAAGAAATATTTGGAAGATTTTGGTAGTTTAGGAGAGAGAAAGTGGTAAAATTATGAGGGGAGAGAAATTGTAAATGATGGTAAAATTATGAAGAAAATTGATTTATAAGAGGAGAGAGAAAATGTGGGAAACTAATTTTAATGTTCAAGATGTATACATACACGTGGGGGATGGGGTATTATGGTAATTTAGGGGGTGGGGGGGGGGTAGGCAATGATGCCTAAAGGGGGTGTAGGTAACAATTATCTGATTTGGGCCAAAATTTCAAGCCCATTGCCCGCCCAAAATTGGCTTGGGCCTATGTTGATCCGGTCTACAACAAAACCAAGAACATTTGTGTGGTTGATAATTTAAAATTATTATTAGGATTTTTTGAATATTATCACCCTAAAAAGCCCATAGCCTCCTCTTTTAATTATTTTGTTTTTATTTATTTAATCACCTAGAAAAAGACCAAAAAAAAAAAAGAATTCACCACAGTTGACGAAAACAGTTAAGTTTCATTTTTTCAAAATTCTTTGATTTTCGTGCAAAAAAATATGTTCCTTAGAGATTATAGGGTCATTTTGGCTCTTTGGATCCAATTTGTGATCAAAATTGGTAAAATAGATTGTTGGAAATGTCACGGTTTGTGTACTATATAAAAAAATTCTTGACAGAAACTGTCAAGTGATGGTGGATGATTGTAGATTTTTTTTTTTTTTTTTTTTGTCTTTATTTATGAAAATAAAAAAAAATTCAAAGAGGTGGTTGATTAAAGAGCTGGCTTTTTACGGTGGTAAAATCCAAAATCAAACGAAGATGCATGGGAGAAGCTTGCAAGTTGCAACGACAACTTGGCAGGAATTTTGTTGGACTCTAGCTCAAAGACAGTTCCAGAACATGGGAATAGGAAGAATGTTGGGCTAACGATTGACGAGTTTGCGAAGATTACATTAGCAAGGACCTTCAACGATACTCGCCATCCTATTCTCGTTCACCGTTCCTTTTTACAAGCCTTCAACCACCAACGTGGTGTTCCCCTGATCTTGTAGAAATACGGAGTATACAATTGTGGCTAGAAGATACAGTATACTACTGCGAATATTCAAGGCCTATTCGTGATCATTTTTTGATTTTTTTAAACAAATAACCAAAAATAGGAAACAAGTAAAAATGGTTTCCTCTTCAGTTTTCAAAATTATAAATTAAACTATTTTTTTAATTTTTTGAATGACATGTTTGAAAATTTAAATTAAAAAAAAAAAAAAAAAAAAAAAAAAAAAAAAAAAAAAAAAAACCCTACAATGATACCTTTTTACCCTTAGTTAACAATGTAGACAGTTTGCTAAAATTACGCTCCTGTATCAAATATTTACTCATAAATGAAATGCTAAATAATTTATTTGAACAAAAGAGGCAACTCATACACATGCCCTGTTGTATATCTCTGTTAAAGTAGCAAAACCAGCAACTTCAGGGGTACACACATCATATAGCCATCTATTGGAGATGGAGTTTTTTCTGTATTTAAGTTACAAATATGATAATGTGTTGCCAACAGAAGTAGTATAAAACTCAAAAGATAGCTGACATCATGAAGAGGTTGCCAAGAGAACTTAATAGCATGTTAGATAATGAGCAGAGAGATGCATCTTGTTGACAACTTTTGCTTGATCAATCCTTAACTGTTGCCTTTAGTATCTTGACATCATGAATAGGTCTGCAACGGCAACAACAAATGACGAGTCATCAGGACATAACAAAAGTGGCAGAATGTGAAATTAAGTGGAGTCAAACTTATATAGGTGTGCTCAGACAAAAATTAGTGAGCAACATACAATTTGCTATAAAGATATTAAGAATGGATAACGTAAATCAGATGAAAGCGATTCCAGTATCTCTTATTTCATGAGGTAGTTTATAGAAGAGTTAAAGGCGTCTAGCAGGAAAAAAAAAAACGGTAATTAGATATCTTCCTTCCCACCTAAAAAGATCTGATAAGCCATGGCGGTTAGTAAAGTAAAGGGTTTTTTTTGTTTTTTTTTTCACCTAAAAGGATCAGTAGTGCTTAGACCTAGCAAACGGGTCATTCGGGTCGGGTATGGGTCGGGTCAAATTCGGGTCAGTAAATGTTCGGGTCGGGTCATTTCGGGTCGATAGATTGTCGTGTCAGGTCGCGTTCGGGTTGGGTCGGGTCTAGTTAGGGTCGGGTCAATTCGAGTCGGGTTAGTTTTCGAGTCCATATATCGGGCCATGTTTGGGTTGGGTCAAGATTGGGTTGGGTCAAGTTCGGGTTGGGTCAAACTTGTTAAGCTGAGGGAAATTTATGTTTGACTGCTCATTATGTGGATGATAAATGGAAATTAATTAGTACAGTGTTGAATTTCAGTCATATTGACTCACCACACCGGAAAAACCATGTATAAACCATGTATAGTGCTGTGTTGTCCATGCTTCTAAGACTGGGGTATTGATGATAAGATTTTTTGCTTCACATTAGACAATGCCTCTAGTAATGATAGAATGCAAGATTATTTGAAAGAAACTCTACTTGAAGAGATGCTTTGTTGTATAATGGTGATTTTTTTTATGTACGATGTGCTGCACATGTATTGAATCTCATTGTTAAAGATGGACTTAAGGTCATTGAACATATTGTTGAGAAAGTAAGACTTTGTGTGAAGCGTGTTAAATATTCTGAAACAAGAAAAAACACTTTCCGATTTTGTGTGAATTTAGCTAAGATAAAAGAAACAACATCGTTGTGGCTTGATGTCTACATACATGATGCTTGATAGGGCTATTTTATATCGTGAGGCTTTTAGGGAAATGTCTGAAGTTCTTGTCCTAATTCACTCTTAGTGGGATTTACTTTAAATTCGGGATGTTTTAGAACCGTTTCATGAGATAACTGAGTTGTTTTCGGAAAGTGATTATCCTACCTCAGATTTGTATTTCGGGAATGTTTGGAAAATTCTTATGCTTTTGATGGAGTTGGAGCGTGATGATGATGTTGTTTTAAGAACAATGGCAATAGAAATGAAGAGCAAGTTTGACAAGTATTGGTTCAACTTAACTCAGAAGAGGATAACTATAGCATGTTATTTGCATTTGCTGTGATTCTTGATCCTCGTTGCAAATTATCTGTATTAAAGTTTTGTTATGAAAAGATATTTAGAGATGTAGAGGCTACCTCGAGAGCTAGTGATCTTCAATTTAAGTTGGAAAAGTTTTACAAACTATATACCCAAAATGGAACATCAACGCTAACATGGGAAATGCCTCAAGCTCCAAAACTTCCACAAGTACTTCATATGGAAACTGCAAGCGGAAATTTGACTATTTTACGGTAATTATTCTTCTATTTTTTTTATTGCAATACATTCTGGTTTTTTTTTTTTTTTTTTTTTGTTGGAACTACCCGTCTTCTAGTTTTTTATGCAACTACATTATGTTTTCAGCTTTTTTTTTTTATTGAACTATCTTCTGTTTTTTGATTTTTTTTTTATCCAACTATGTACCTTCTGTTTTTTTTTTTTTTTTTTTATGCAACTACCTTCTTTTTTCTGGTTTTCATTTGTTTACTAGTTTATCTTTTCTTCCGCGTTCTTCCTGTTGCCATTATGTTCTTGTTGTGTTTAGTTTATCTTTTTTGTCTCCAATTTCTGATTTTTTCTTGAATTAATTTCTAATTTTTGCTTTTTCTAATGTTAATTTCAGTCATATGACGATAAAGAGGCCTCTTCTACTTTAGGTGAGAGGTCAATATTGGATATTTATCTCGAGGACCCTAATCTTGATCGAACGGCGGAGCTTGACATATTAGCTCTTTGGAAAGAAAATGAACATCAATATAAAGAGCTTTACCATCTTGCTTGAGATATTTTGGCTGTGCCCTTGACAACCGTTGCTTCGGAATCAACTTTTAGCACAAGAAGTCGAATATTGAATAAATGGAAAAGTTCTTACATTCCAGAAAATGTGGAGGCTTTAATAACAACTTGTAGTTGGATGTTTTCTTATAAAAGTAAGTATTTCTTGCTCTTTGTTGTATGCCTTTATTATTGCACTTATAGTGTATTTGATTATATAATTGGTTTTAAATTATATATTTTACGTTATATTTGTAAATTTATAGTAATTTTTGTTTTTATGTTTATGTAGCAAATGAAGATGATGGAATTGTTGGTTCTTATGTGGATTGTGCTCCAATCGAAACACGTGCTTGATGTCAACAATTTTAGGGTGGAATATTGGAGTACGGTAGTTAGAATATAAGTTTGGTTGCTATCTTTGTCAATTAGAACTTGTAAATTATTGAACATTTTGTTATGTAAATGTTGACGCAGAAATTATTGTCCTGCTTTTATTTCAACACTTGTGAAAGTTGTGACTAATTAGCATTAATTTGCTATTGAACTAATGTTTTGGAACTTGATTTTCATGTTTATTTTTGCATACAATTATTCGCTGAAATTTTAGTAACTTTTTATTAATCTTGTGGTGAAACTCCAAAAGTTTGGAGTATGGATCTTATAGTATGGCCATTAATTTTCAATCGTTTTTCCAATTTGTTATAAGTTTAAACACAATGGTGAAAAGAACCAAGAAAATGAATACAAAAAATTTTCAATCGTTTTTTTCCAATTTGTTATAAGTTTAAACACAATGGTGAAAAGAACCAAGAAAAGGAATACAAAAAATATGTAAATTATTCACTTTCTATGTTACACATTATTAACAAAGTTTTAATAACCAAGTCGGTTTGGTTCAAGCTATTTCAATTTGGGCATGTTCGGGTCACGCACGTAATACGGGTTTAAATCGATTTAGGTCATTTTGCGTATAAGGTAGTTCTAGTTTGGGTCATTTTGGGTTCCGGGTATGTTCGGGTCAATTAATTCGGGTTAAAATCGGTCATGTCAATTCAGGTATCGGGTCCATTCGGGTCGAGTCATTTCGGTATCAGGTCAAATTCGGGTCGGGTCACTTCAGGTTGGGTCATTTCGGGTATCGGGTCAATTTCGGGTCGGGTCACTTTGGGTATCGGGTCAACTTTGGGTCGGGTATAATCGGGTTGGGTCAACTTCGGGTTTCGGGTCAAGGTCAGGTCAACAACACATCGGGTTGGGTATGGGTCAGGTCGGGTCAATTTCGAGTCATTGTTTTCGAGTCAATTTCGGGTAATGGGTCGGGTCATTCGGGTCGGGTCATCGCGTCAGGATTGCCAGGTCTAGTAGTGCTTATATGGGTTACAAGATACCTCATCAACCTCTTCATGTTTTTCCTCACATCTCATTCTACCCTCACAAAACCATTTGTTTTGATCTAACATGTTTCACATGAAAACTTCCCAAATATAGTGATATCAATTACTTCAAATCATATAGCAAAGTCTTCGACCATAATAATCCACAAACTCCAAGCAATATTATTGAGTCAAGGCTACTAGGCTAGCGCAATATGCATAAGCATAAAGCATACAGCTTTAAAAAAACTTATCCTTAAGTAACACGGCTATTGATAAATCTGAAAGAAAGAAAAACAAAAAAATATATAAAAGACAAACCTATCAGTATTGTCGGTCTGGACACTGCCAAGCCTCTTAATTATCTCCATTCCCTTACAAACCCTTCCAAATATTGTGTGCTTTCCTAAAAAAATCATTACAAAAAGAAATTTTAAGTACAAATACGAATGTAAGATGGAACATAGTCTTTCAAAGACTGCCCTTTTAGAAAACGACGACTACATGTAGATATCACTGTTTACATGAATGGCGATTCGATATTAGCTATTCAAAAGGAACAAAAGGTGAGAAAAGATAATGACAAACAAGCTGTAAAAACTTACCACTGAATACAGCAAACAGAAAACAAACCCTCTCCCAAAAAATAATACTCAATAAGAATTTCACATAAAGTGTGAAAAGCACATTTATATGTCCTAATAGCTCCATGTAAAGTAACCAACAAACATACTTGGATGTTGCTACGTATATGGAAATATCTGAACTATGAGTTATGTCTGGAGGTTATTTGGGATCTACATTTTACAGCTAGAAACTCATTTTGAATGGGCTTGAAAACAAATCCTATTAAACTAGGATGTGGCACATTGAAGGTCAAATTGAATATATTGAAATGCAAATATGACCGGCTTGACCCTCAATTTAGATACAAGCCAAAGACAACACACAAGATACTTTTTTGAAGAAGAAATGGGGTGTTGAATTACCATCAAGAGAGGGAGTAGGAGCTAGAGTAATAAAAAACTGGCTTCCATTTGTATTAGGACCAGCATTTGCCATGGATAAAATGCCAGCGCCAGTATGCTTCAATTCCGGATTTATCTCGTCTTCAAAGCGTTTGCTGCAGTACATAAAAAATTAGTCAAAACCTGAAAGTGGATTGGTAATCATAAAACTGAAGAGGAGTGCCAGTGCACGACCACATTTTTTCTTTATTCATTTCTACTCCAACCTCATTTCAGATCAAGAGAGTAGCGATTAATTAAAGCCTCACAGACACTATATTATTCTCCAACAAAAGTGCCATTTAACTTGCAGAAATGACTACTGAGCTGCAGAATTGAGAGATTGCCCAAAGAAATAATAAAAATTCTGAAATATGACCTCTTCCTTTTATATCTACATACTATAACAGCTTGATCATTCAGCAGTCATGTCAATATGTGGGATTTAAGCTATCCTCTTTTTTCTTGTTTTTTTTCAATGTGCGCCATAGAGTTTTCCCATCCACTCCTCCTCTAGGGGAGAGGAAGAGCACCACATACTCCTTTAATTAATATGAGTAGTTTGAAACACATTCAAGTGAAAATCCACTTCTCAAATTACAGATTGCCCCTCCCCCCCCCCCTCTCTCTCTCTCTCCCTCCATGGTGCAAATTCTGATTATTTTCCATGAGTTACAATGAACTCAAACCAAAAGAACTTTCTCTGACATGTCTTACACATAATGAATTCATCTGTCATAGACCCAACCAGGCAACCACTATACATGACATATCAAAACAAGATATTACATGAGAATATTGTTACTTGAATTTCTCAATTTCACCTAAATGCCATTCAAAATTCTCAAATTTCAAGATGGGTATGGATATACTGACACTTTAATTTGGACCGAATTTATAATTTTTATTTTTGTAAATTGTGCCAGTCTAACACAAGGAGATATGCCTGCGACCTACACATATAGCTGATTTTGAGTAACATAGACAGAGAAATTAGCCAAGTTTGCAAAAAAAGAAACAAGACAAGAAGATCTGGACCAAATCAAAATTACACACTGGATTCAGATGATTGTAATGCTAACCTACTTGTGTCTGAATACCAAATATTTGTATACAAGTCTTTAGTGTGTTAAACTAAACCCTTATTGGATTTTGAGAAAAATATGCAAGGTCTGAAAAACACATTAAAATTAATTACATGTTGAATCAAGGCAAATGTAAGGACATGGTTCAAAATCCCATACTTAGCAAACTCTTCCCTTCCCAGCCACCAACCGCCCCGCCCATCCCCAGCCTCGGCCCCCCACCCACAAGTACCCTAGATTAGCAGCTTTACAAAGAACAACATACCAAATTGCCTTCAAACACAAACCCATATATGAGTAATACAAAATTTAGAAATTAGAAGAGTAAAGGGCAATACCCATAAATGGATTCGCCACCTCTTCCAGTTCCAGTAGGATCTCCTCCTTGAACTATAAACTCCTGCACCCAAAATCACCCCAATTAGAATCTCACCCACAAAAATTAACAGCATAAATCAACAAAATTAATAAGGGTAAGTTTAATACTTTGATGATTCGATGGAATTTGACATTGTCATAGTAACCTCGACGAGAAAGTTCCAGAAAATTCCGGCATGTTCTTGGGGCATGCTTGTTGTACAGCTAAATTAACATACAAATTATGCAATTTAGAAAAGAATTTGTAAAAACAACAAAAATCCAAAAAAATTAGCATAAAAATAAAAACAAGCGAAGTAATATGAGAGAGAAAAAGACCTCAATGGTGAAAGGACCCATGGAAGTCTGCAGCGTGACTTCCGGCGGCCCATCGTCGGCGGTTGCTCCCATCGTCGGCGGTTGTTCTGCTCACAGTAAACAACGACCTTAAGCTAAGAGAAGAAAGTGTTTGTGAGAGAGAAAAGATGTTTCTTTTGATGGTCTAATTGAATTGATGACTTGATGTACGGGTTCTTAGTTTATTACCAATGAGCTAGGCGAGCTAGCCCAATCCAAGTTAGGATTCGGCGTAAACTTTGAATCGTCTATAATTATTAGTAAAAATTGTTAGAAAAAAAAAAAAAAAAAAACCTTTTAAATGCACCATTTTACGGAAAAAAAAAATTAAAAACCCGAAATTAAAATTTTTTTGTTTAAAACTGTTTTCAATAAGATTTGAACCCCTACTTTATAGCACTAACAATATACCACCAAGCCAATACAAGAATTGTTAAATAAAATCTCAAAGTTATTATGTTATAAAATGGCATCTTTTAGAGTTCTAGCGATAAAATAAAATTATTGTAACCGATTGTATCAATTAATAATGCTTGATTTAAGCCTTGAATGAAATAATGACCATTTGAATATATAGTAATAACTTAGTTGAGATAATTAAAAGATCACTCCTTAAATCGGTTTTTTTTTTCCCCTCATAATTCAATGTTTGTAACTAATGTAAATATGTAATATTTTATTTATATTGGTCTTAGTTGATGAATTGAATATTAATAATAATAAAATTATCATTGAATTGCTTTGACCAATTTGTAACTGATGATCAATTCTCAAATCAGTTAAAATCCTACAACTAATTAGCGTGGGTGAGTAATGGGTGCGGACTGTCGCATGCATGCATATAGGGGTGAAACTAATGCGGTTTAAAATCAAAGCAAACCGCAAACCAAACCGAATTAGAAATGTGGTGCGGTTTTTTTCCTAATATGGTTCGGTGCGGTTTGAGAAATCCCAAAACCGAAGTAATATGGTTTGGTTTTGGTTTTAAGATTTGAAAATCCAAAAACCGAATCCAAACCGAATTATTATGGCTTATATCCAAATTATAGCCTAGCCCTATACTAATTTCTACCCTACAAAAAAATAATAAAACTTGTGTTTTTTTTTTTTTTTTATTTCCTAAAATGTCAACCAATGTGGACAATGTTGGAGTGAATGACCAGTTAGATGGAGCAAAAAGGAAGAGGATGAAAAATTTCGGTGTGGTTCAGTTTTCTTTTAAAAAACCGAATTTAAAACGATGTGGTTTGGTTCAGTTTCAATAGTAATATGGTGCGGTGTGGTTTGAAAAATCCCAAAATCGAATTAATGTGGTTTGGTTTCGATTTGGGCTATAAACCACACAGCAAACCGAACTTTCACCCGTACTTGCATAATTACGTGCGGCAGACTTGACTGATATGTTTCATGTGTTGGCTGATATGTTTCATTTGTTGGCTGATTTTTTGTGTTGGCTAATATATTTCTTTTGTTGGTTGAATAATATGTTTTTTTTTTTGATATGTTCCTTTTGTTGGCTAATATGTTTGTTTAGTTAGCTGGAATCTTTATTTTGTTGGCTGATATGTATATTTTAATTGTTGGCTTATACTTCGTATGTTTCATTGTATTGGTTGATGTGTTTATTTTGTTAGCTTATATATATGTTGCTTTTGTTTGTTGATTTTATCTTTTTGTTGGCTTATATGTTTTATTTTGTTGGCTTATATGTTTATTTTGTTCGCTTATATGTTCCTAATGTTGGCTGTTATGTATCTTTTGTTGGCTGATATGTTTCATTTGTTGGCTGATATGTTTCTTTTGGGTTTTTATTTTTGTTTCTTTTTTAATATTTTAGCTGATATGTTCCTTTTGCTGGCTGATACGTTTTTATTAATGTATGATATGTTCTTAAGGTTGACTGATATCAAACATCAATTGGCTAATATGTTCTTTTTATTGGCTGATATTTGTATTTTGTTGGTTGATCCACATAATTAAACATTTCAAGTTTAACTCATCAAAAAAGAAAAGAAAAAGCTAAGGGAGGAGATGGAAGCCACCATGAAAATTCCAACAACATACGCCAACACTTGTCAACTCAATTCAACCGCTTTCTCTCTCCTCAAATTCAACCCCAAATTTATTCATCAATTCTCCAAATCAATTAATCAAAACTCTAGAAAATAAAAAAAAAAAACCCGGAATCCCAATTTCACAATCAAACCTTTAAAGATGCCGAAGAAGATGGGTGTCAACAGTAAAGCCGAGGACGCCAAAGCAGCGAACTGCCACCGGCAGCAAACCGTCACCAGCAGCGAACCACCACCACCATTGGAACCTAAAAGTTTGAACTCCATAAAATCGCCACCATATCGCACTGGCCACCAAATCGCTTCCAAATCACACCACCAAATCGCCACTAAATCACCACCAAATTGCACCACCAAATCGCCGCCAAATCACACCACCGCAGCGAACTGCCACCACCAATCGAACCTTAAAGTTTGAACTCCACTGCGGCCAGATTCAATCGCAACTTTTGCAGGTGAAAGAAAAAAGAAAGAAGAAAGAGGAGAGAGATCAAAAGTCTGCTCTAATTTTCAAAGAGGGGAAAAGAGAAGAAAGAAGAAAGAGGAGAGAGATCAAAAGTCTGCTCTAATTTTCAAAGAGGGGAAAAGAGAAGAAAGAAGAAAGAGGAAAGAGAAAAGTCTGTAACTTTTCTAATTGTCAAAGAGGAGGAAAGTGAAGAAAGTGGAAAATGGAGAAATAGTTGTGTGCTGCCCAAACATTGGGTGCGAACTAAAGCACCCAATATTTTGTATTAATAATATCATAGATTGACAAGTCTTGGTGCCACAATCAAAATAATCATTACTTATAATAACTTAACATTGAAGAGTAATCCCTACATTTTTTTAAGTGCTTCATTGGGGGATTTTAGCACTATTTACTAAACATACTTCTACCAATATTTGTGAATTGTATCAATTAGTAGATAATTAATATTCAATTGTTATAATTTATAGTTAATAATAATTAAAGATATTATCAGTCAAAATTTTTCATCGACATGCATGTCATGTCACTATGGAGCACTTTAAAAAAATGGAGGGAGTATATGCCTTTCAAACACACTAATATAAAGAAACCAATTGTAAAATTGCTATAATCTCTTTGAATTTCATCCTAGAAAAGATTATGTACGGAGTATATCCATTAGTTGGACACATTATTATGTTCATATAGGGTTTTAAGGTGCATATAGACATATAGTTACAAGATTTGAGCACTTTCATTCATTTTAGGATCGCATCCGCATGAATGACCTTAATTGTGCTCTACTACTTACCAAACTAAGCCTTTTTGGCAAAATATTTTGCATAGAGGATGCGTGGCAAAACTATTTACCAAATTAAGCTTCTGGGGTAAAACACTGTCTTGAACAACGTTTTATACCCTGTTTTTTTTTTTTAAAAAAAAATTCAAAGTATAAAACGCAGTTTCGGACAGCGTTTTTAGTTGTTGACTTTTTTTTAAAAAAAATTTTGTAATTTCTGATTTTTAAAAATTAAAAGAAAAAAATTCAATTACACATAAAACGCTGTCTCAGACAGCGTTTATAGTGTTTTTTTTTAAATGAAACATTGCCTCAGTCAGCGTTTCTTGGGTATTTATGTTCCAGGCAATCGGTTTCGCAAGCTGTTGCATTTTCACTTCACTCATCCCTCAAATTCTCACTCTCACTCTCTCTCACTAACGTAGAAGACCCATAAACTTTCACACTTAACCACCGGCTTTGCCGCTGCCGCTGCTTCCGCCGGTCGCCGTTGCTGCTTCCCCTCGTTCTCTCACTCACTCACTCAATTTTGTGGTAAACTCTAAATTCAAATTAGTGTAATGTTGATAATTGCTCTTAATTGTGGTTAATTAATGTAAATTGTATCAAATTGTTGCTAATTATTAATGAAAATGTGGTAAATTGTTGATTATTATTAGTTCGTTAGTAATCGTTTTGCATTGCAACCTAAACTAAGAGTTTATAAATGGAGTTAATGCTTAGTTTGTGGGCTCTTGTCAACAAATGAACAAATAATAGACTCTTGTCAACAAATGAACAAATAATAGACTCTTGTCAACAAATGAACAAATAATATGGTTCTTGTCATCTTTTTTTTACCTCGCTCTAGATTTCAATTATCCTAAAATGTGTTTTGGTTGTTATGTAGAATATGGCTGCACAAAATGTAGTTTTGTTATGTCGGTGGGGAGGTGAAATTCTGTTTGATGGACCCCGTGTCGAGTATAGTGGAGGAAATATGGAACCACTAACACTTGAACCGAACATGACTTTCAATGATTTGATGAACGAGGTTCATAATAGTATTGGTTCAAACCCAAGGAATGTTGAACTAAACATTAAAATGAGGTTTGAGACTAGCAATGGGGTTCAAGTGTTACCTATTTCTACGAATAAACATTTGAAAGCTTTGAGGAGCGTTGTTGCAATGAAGGGTGTTCCCACTGAGATATATGTAGAAATGGTGCCTATATGTACCCAACAATGTACTCGGCCAGAACAACAATCTACATATATTTCCAGTTACAACACAGAGTCCTTCCAAGTGCCTTTACACGACATTTCATCAACTGAATATGGGATGGGATCTTTCAGTCGAATGCTACACGACGATCAATTTCACCTGCCGTTTAGTTCTCATATAGCTTCACCTGTACATGGGGGGGCATATGTAGCAATGACCGGCCAACCTGGTCCTTCGACATCAAACACCGTCACACCTTCACCGATGCAATTGCATGGTTATTCGCCTATGTAAGATGATGTTCAAGCATCACCGTCTCAACTTGTGCCAAATCATCTTGAAACTATTGCGAATAAAGAATTGTCTGTGTATACAAATGATGAGGCTGAGAGCGGAGAGGAGGAAGATGGAATTCAGAACATGGATGTTAAACCTGCACATATGGAAGTTGGCGAGCCCCTGGTTAGAACTCCCGTACCTTGGTTCAGTCAGGTAAACGAGAACTATGAAGTTGATCAGTATTGGGCCGAATCGGGTAACCATACATTGTTTGTTCCCAGGGGAGAATTTGAGAAGGGCATGTATTTTGAAAGTAAGAAAAAGCTTCAAGAAGTGGTGAAGATGTATTCTATACAGAGGAATCAATTCTACACCACAGTGACATCAAATCAGAGTGTCCTTCCTCTGCGGTGCAAGAAGAAATGTGGTTGGATGCTACGGGGTACCAAATCAAGTGAGCACTCGCGTGGCTTTACCCTAGTCACGTACAAAGGCCCGCACCGGGAGAATTGTGTCACTGAAGTACTATCTACTGATCACCCACACTTGGATTCGTCCATAATATCAGAGTATGTAAAGTCCTTTGTGCAGAAAGATCCGTCCTTGAAAGTTGAATTCATACAGGAACTTATCTCCAAGCAATTTCATTTCAAAGTTCCGTATTGAAGAGCATGGTATGCCAAGGAGAAAGCTATAGCTGAAATATTTGGGGATTGGGAGAGTTCTTACGGCAGACTTCCGCACTTCATGCAAGCATTGCAACAGTCAAACCCGGGAACCGTTGTCGTATGGAAACACAAAGCTCTGGTGGATGGTGTATACTACAACAACATGGAAGTGTTTGAACGAGTGTTTTGGGCCTTCGGTCCTTGTATCGACGATTTTAAACATTGTATGCCTGTTATCTGTATCGATGTGACGCACTTGTACGGGAAGTATAAAGGAACACTGTTGGTTGCTACAAGTGTGGATGCAAGCTTCCAAGTATTTCTGCTAGCATTTGCGTTGGTTAAAGGGGAAAACACTTCTAGCTGGTCTTGGTTTCTGGGCTGCATTCGGGTTCATGTCACGCAACGAGATGGCCTCTGTGTTATATCTGATCGACATCCTGGGATCATTGCAGCAATGAATGATCCTAACGTTGGATTCACCGAGCCGCGAGCCTATCACAGATTTTGTGTTCGCCACATAGCTTCTAACTTGAAGACTCATGTGCAAAGCAACGACATGAGAGATATGTTCAAGGCTGTTGCGTACCAAAGGCAAGAAAGAAAATTCAAGCTGATCTGTGTTTCATCGGTGAGGCATGTACCAAGGCCATGGAGTATATTGTTCAAGTCCCGTTTCCTATGTGGTCTCTCTTCCACGACACTGGTCGCAGATATGGGATATGTACTACAAAATTCTCCGAAACATTTAACCATGTGTTGAAGGGAGCTCGGTTTCTACCGATCATGTCCCTTGTCGAGTTAACTTTCCACAGAGTTAACAGGTATTTCACTTTAAGAAGAGAGTCTTTTGAGGCTAGGTCTGAGCAGGGACTTGCATACCCCCCCCCCCCAAAGGTCACTACCATTCTGGAGAAGAACACCGCAAAATCCAGATATCATAAAGTGGATGCGTATAATCGTCGATTGCATATTTACCAAGTTACAACAGAAAGGGGAGGGCGACTCGGTAGAAAAGGAGGTCATAAACACACTGTTAACTTTCAGTTGAGAACGTGTACGTGCAACAAACCAAAGATATTCCATCTCCCATGTTCTCATGTTCTAGCAGTCTGTGCAACGTATTCACTATCAGAGCAGTCGTGGGTGGAACCTGTGCTACAATTGGAGTCCCATACAAACACCTATGCACCACAGTTCTAGCCTATCCCCTGTGAGACGACATGGACACAGTACGTCGGCCCTAAACTCATTCTGGACGGCAACATGGTACGTGGAAAAGGTCGGCCAAAGTCAAAGCGCATACACAATGAAATGGATGAGACTCACCGGCCCCCGAGTAAATGCAGCCGCTGTCACCAGCAGGGTCACAACTGGACAACGTGTCCGTCCAGATTGACCGGAACCTAAGTTTGTATCTGTAATTTGATGTAGTTGAATAGTAGATTTATTTTGTATTTGATTTTGTAATGTCTGTAACATTTATAACATTCGGATGATTTCTATTTTGAATGTTGTCATTTGAAATTTTTCGTCGTTGCATTTAACTCGTCCAGCTCTTGTTTAATTAATGTTCTAGTAATTATGTTGATAATTGGTGTATAAAGTTGTTAATGAACAGATTAAATGGACAGGCAAGATAGGACACCTAGACCTGTTGACCCTTCTGTCCTGACACTACAGGACACACATCGGAGCGTTGACATATGGGACCAGTTAGTAATATTTCATCCGTCAGTTCATGTTCTTATGCATCTTAAATTGATATACTATATGATATTAATTACGTTCGTACGGTTTTTTATCAGCTTGAACCAGGGAGGATGCTGGTTTGCTGGCACTACACTACCAGGGTTATGGTGGAATGGGTTGTCGATCAACGCGTTATTGTGTACGTTGAGTTGGCTGGCTTGGGTGGTATTCATCGGATGGCGTTCGGGTAGATCGATCGAGCGCTTATCACTGTGCTCGCGGAGAGGTGGAGACAGGAGACGCACTCCTTCCATCTACCGGTTGGGGAAACGTCCGTTACGTTGCGGGACGTCGCGATACTCACGCGCCTTCCTATACATGGGACTGCGGTGACAGGACATGCGTTAGTCGACCTCGTTGGTTTGGTAGCTCGGGTTCTCGGGGTTCAGCCAGGTCTCGGCGAGATCAGGGGTTCCGGGTTGAGGACCGGCTGGATACGCGAGACTTTCCGTGTGCTGCGTGCGGACGCTGATGACGCCACGGTTCAGAGACACGCTTGGGCATACTTTTTCCTGCTCATCTCGGGCATGTTGTTCGGCAACAAGAGCGGGAGCCATCTGCAGCTTAT